GATAGTTTTCATTGCGTTTGTAATCCACTAACAGGAAAGGCAGGACTGGGTTAGACCCAGGACCTCTTTAGCTCGGTGCCACTCACCCAGCACTAAAGAGGCATCAGCCACTTTGCAGCAGGGGGGTACAAACCCGGGAAGCTGTTGGCACCTTCACCCCGCCGCAGTGCGGCTGCGACCACTGCAGCTTGTCCGAAAGCACGGGCTGGTCACAACTGCGGCTGCTATGGAGGCACTTGGGAAACGCTGCCCCACCATAAATTACCTGGTGTCTGCCGCATGGTAAAGTTGTGCTCAGGGAAAGTTACTGAAGAGCTGCCTTTATCCTACGGTAACGTTTTCATGGTCCTACATGCTCAGGAAAAGTCCTTAGAGAAGAAGAAAGCCCATAAAAGCTATGAATGACATTATCTTTGGCCCTGGTACACTTTTGTAGAGGATTGCACCCAAACATACTCATATTTTTTTTACACAGTGGGAATAATAAAATTTATACTACAATATGCTTTCTAAAAATAACTCTGTCTTTCTGTTCCTTCCCAGTATGTCATGAATTGAAGGAAGAGTGGAATGAATGGAGTAGAAGAATGACGCAGCCTGGCAGTCACCCACGTCAATGACCTTTTGGTATAAGACCTTGCCGCCATCTTATTCCAAGTTCTGTAAGATCACGGAGCCTGCCTCCCCTGTCTCCAAGACGCAAAGTCCTTCACAATTTTGGAAACATTTTACTTTAAAAAAAAATATATATATATCCACAAAACAAGCCAAGAATAGCACTTTTCAGGACAGGTTCCAGGGTGTTTCAATAATGGTCTGTGGAGAGCTATTAAGTAGTGCAAATAGATACCACGTTTCCTCTTAGTAAGTTAAGAGCATCCTGTAGTCCATTAGTCACCAGCCCAGAAAGAGATATATTTTTTGTTTAAATTATAATCCCTTCCCCTAACTTGCTGCTGGCCAGCACTGAGACATTTTACTTTAAACTGCACACCCAGTTTCCGCCATACAGACATTACGACAGCTGTTGCCCCAGGGAATAACCAATACAGGCAATGAAAAGAGTGCATTTTCGTCCTTTCTATAGCAAGTATATGTCTCTTCCTGAAAATAGTAAGTGCCCACTGGTCTAGGCACCTCTTCCAGCCTTGACCGCCTCAGTTAATTCGTTGCTCTTATTAACTCACACTGAACCATTCCTATGAGTAAATGCCATGGTGTTTTTTCCTGATTTGTTCTGTCTCGGTTTGTAAGGCACTCTGATAACTCTGAAAGAGGGTCCCGTACAGCATGGCAGCCTCCACAGAACCTTCTTATGAGCATCTTCTCATATCAGCGCACACACCCCAAAAAGGTCTGGTTTTAAGAAGGAGCCTTACAAACAGGAAAGTTTTTCACGCCTTGTCTTTGTATTGATTTCATGACACTGGACAATCATTCACTATCAATACCTCCTATCGTGGAGACAAGCTGCTAAATGTTTGAAATTTCCTACTGGCCGTCCCTGGGTAATGAGGGTCTCATCTATAATCGTACCTGCCTGGGAAAAACTCAGGTGGGAAATGCTGCAGATGTGGAGGCAGGACACTGTATCTGGGTTCAGCTTCTCACTTAGCCAAGAGATGCAGACGTGTTATTGAGACTCTTGAAATTCATATTTTGGACTCATGAGGATCCTGTGAGCAAGGGAGGGAAGAAAATTTAAGAAACAACTACCTGGCCAAAATAATTTGGAAACTCCTGCTTTCACCAGAGCTGGCTTACACAAACTGTCTCAAACGCATCAGGTAAAACCCGTTGCAGACAACGGCAGATGAAGAATTATCTGCGTCTTTCACCACTTGAGGAATATTTCAAGCCTAGCAACCCCAACCCATAGCTGTTTGAAATTCCCACCACGTCGCTCGGCTCTGAAATCCCCTGGAGGACAATTCTGCCAAAGCAAGATTTTCCTCAAGATAGGGATAACTCCTCTGTATGCATAAAGCTTCTCTTTTTTTTTTTACTTTCAGTGAATAAAACCGCTACAGAGGAGATCTTTATTTTCCTGAATGCTACAAAGGAGCACCAAATATGCTTTCTAACCTTACTTCTCATTTGATATATGTTCTTCTCGTGCACTTCCATCACGGATGTATTTACCAAACAGACCTTTGCATGAAAACCAGAGCACTGCATCCACAGCATTAACCCTAGAAGCCGAAGACGGTAAAAGCTCCATATTCTGTCTCACCGGCACGTTGATAATCAGCACCAAGCAAGCATCGACCTCCACGGCTTTCTAGAAGTTTCATGATGAGCCAGTTATTGACAAAGTGAATTCTGCGCTACAAGGAAAAACCAGCACTTTGGGTTTTTTGGAGTTTAGGTTTTATGCCAGTAACACCTCCCTGCAAAAGGCGTGCTGTCCTGAGCTTTCCAAACAGCAGACATCTGTTTCAAGACAGAAGCAGCCATCAGAAATTTTCAAACATTAATGAGCTAACCTGATCTGCAGAGCTGGGTATCCTTTCTCACACATGGTCTGTCACAAGGACTAAAAGAACCCACGGAAATTACGAATAAAAAAAACAAATCTCCTTGTAGTATAAGAGTAGATGAATTCCCTCTCTCCCACTGATAATACTTAAACCTAGATTTTCCTTTTTTCTTTTGAGACCGTTTTTGTGCATTTAGATAAAAAAAATCATCTGCTCTGCTTTCCACAAAAGGATGCAACACAGTTGGACACTGAAAGAGAAGTTTACAATTATATAAGGAACAAAGTTCATAGAATGTTTAATAACGTTCTAAAAGTACAACTCTAGAAACCTTTTGTGCATTCATAGTTACTAAACACTTTGGTGACAAATGTTCACAACATTATGGAAAATGCTGCTGTTATGGAACCCTGGGCATGGAAGATAAGAAACCTCAATTACGTTTAGTCTTGGGGCTTGAAGAAATAGACTGCTGCTTGATCCCCAGCAGTGACCATGCCAGGAGAATGCGGGGTTTGGTTGGTTTGGGTTTTTTTTTTTTCCAAAGAAAAGACACCGTGTCTGTATTTTAAGCAAAACTACAGAATGAGCAGACCCGAAGACAAAACTTCATAGTTTTTCAAGAAATTCCTTCCGGGCAAGGTTAAGAGTTCAGCTGTGAACAGGACAGATTGCCAATTTTATTTCAAGATAGGAAGTCAGTCACTTGTTTGAATACAAAAGTGAATTTGCAACCGCTTTGAAACAATTTTTCAAAAAGTACACTTTCTGAGAGAGCACTCTAAGTAGTATGCACTATATTTTGATTTTTAACAAAATTTTACAAGTGTATAAATTTTATTATTCCTGGACGGATGGATGTCTGTATGTCTTTTCAACTTAGAAAGGAACTTGCAACCCGTAATGGATAAGCTACAGCTAACTGTAAAAAGTGCATTTTTATAGCAACAACAAAAAAAGTGTCATTTACTTCTTCTCGGCAGTGCTTTTAGATGCTACTTGAAACCAAAGTAGCTACAAATTCTTTGACAGAACCACAGAACCTATCAAGTTGGCAGTGTCCTTTTACCACATGCGGAGCAACATATCTAAGCTTGATGCTGATAGACCTGCCCGGGCTTCACACAAAATCAGATCTACGTGCTGAACTAAGCACGCCCCCAAATACGCTGCGTTCACCTTTAGAAGATTGTTACAAATTTGGATGCGCCTCGCAGTGAAGGCGAGAGGTTGGCAGTGCCTCAAGGGCAGCCGGTGACAATTTCGGAGCCTGCAGCCAGATGATATCATTGCGTCGGTGGGGAGTTGTCAACCTGGGGGCTTAAACCTGAGGACTTACCTTGCGCAGAAGTCAAGCAGTGCCAACAGCCCAAACAGAAATCTGAGGTGACTGAAGCCATTTTACAAATTTGCCAGGTCCTTAGAGAGCTGCTCTCAAAGCCTATTTGCAAAAGGGTTTACCAGCCGAGCTCTACATTTCCACTGGAGATGCAGTTTATAGGAGAAATATGCTATACCAGCAAAAAAAAAAATAAAAAAAGTTGCTAGTAAAAGTGCATTTACATTAGGACTTTTGCCATATACATGTGTTTAAAAAATAAGATGAAATAAACTCCATCCTTTTAGCAATACTGCTATACTGGTCAATGTTCCAAATGTACACCAGGCCTTGTTTCTGCCTCATAAAAACATCTCTGAAGGATAAATATTTTGACTTATGAATGCACTGTATTATATCAAACAGCAGGTGTTGTCAACAACATCTTTCTGGTCTTGGATTCTACCTTCACGAGATTTTCCAATGGTGAATCCATGAATAGCTGCATTTTAGCTGCCGAAAAAATGTATTTTACACCCATGAGAGCGTATTCACAAAAATCATGGTATTCTTACTCATAGTCTAATTAATGGCTAATTACTCACCCAGCATCAGCCTACAAACTGAAACACCAGATCCCTTCCTGCACGGCTGGTGACAGACTAGGAAACACCTTCCCATCTCTTGGAGGCAGTTGCAGGACTTGACCTAGCCTTCGGAAATGCGTTATGCAGCACCCATCAGATTTACACAGTTAAACTACTTTGTTTTGGCACCTATAGGAATCGTCCAGATTTGGGACTGCCCAGTAATTTTCATTTTGATTCACAAGGAAGACACAGGAAAAAAAACTGAGATGCTGCTGTATATTCAAGTTGGATAATTAATACAATTTCTTCTGTACAGTACTGTGTAAATGTGAGTGGATATTTAGAGCATACCTCATTGCAATTTTTCCATCTATTTTTTCCAAAGATTCTTTGCTTACAGATGTGCATACACATGTATGAGAAAACCTAACCAGTAAAGGTTTTAAAAGCAACACACCTTCAATTTTACATATCTAGGGACGAAAAAACAAAAGAGTTAATGAAATGCTGGTGGCAATAAGCTCAGATTGGCCTGACAGCAGGTGAAACGTATGGGCAAATTTGCTATAAATCCAAAAGCACATGTTTTCTCTTTTGTATTTCCATATTTACTGGCAGTCAAAAATACAGCATGCTACTGGTAAAGTGAATTTTAAAAAGTCACCATGACAATATCACATAAACTATCTCAGTTTTTTTTTCCTTTGTAGTGGGCCCTTTTAACCCAAACCTACATGTAAAAATGTGTGAACTGTCATTTTTCTAAAGTGTTTGTAATTAGGTGGTTTATGCTAGAAAGACATAGGTTGCTGTTGAGTATGTATTATTATTTTTGCTTTGTATTATTCCATAAGAATCTGTGGATATTCAATTAAAATGAGACTAATCCTTAAGCAAAAATGCATACCCCTCTTTTTGTCAGTATCTTTTATTTAGACTTTGGCTCCAGAGAGAAAATGCAAGAAGTTTTTTTGGATGCTATTCCCTTGAATAAGGCAAGTCAAAGTCCTCCCTGGCAATTATGATACTGCAAAATGAACCTCTCAGAATGTTTTTACTAAAATAACTTGTATTCTACCAATACAGCACATGAGCTTTCCAAGTTTCCCCTCAACATTACACTTTAGAAAAGAGTCATGGAAAAATTGCTTCCCCTGGATTTCTATCAAC